TGCTGGCGTAGGTCTCCACGTGGCTCCTCCAGCTCCAGAGCTCTGGCTCCATCAGTGTAGCTCCATGTGACTTGTCAACAGGAATGTCTCACAGAGAGAGTGTATGTCCTGTCTCCAGAGAGGGAGACAGGAGTTCCCAGAATCCTCAGGAGAAGGCCATGCCCACAGAGAGGCCTCACTGGCTATGACCTGATTGACAGGCTAGACTCCACCCCTTCCCTCAACTTGACAGGAGATTATGTAGCTGCCACAAACCACCCCTTGTCAACTTGACACTTTTACACAACTCTTTAGCCATATAATTCTTAAACAAAACAGTGATAAAATCATTTCCATACCTCACAGGATAAAACTAAAATGCATACAATTAAAAATGTGCCACCCTCATTTCAACATAACATTCTAAAGTGAGCAAAAAAACTATTCTATGCCTAACAATTGCAGTTAAGTGAACACCTACACCTTAATCCTATAATCCTATGAATATATTCCCCCACCTATGAAAGTGTATAAGCTAGCCACTTCATGCCTTTACCTCCCAATTTGGGGCATCTAATTTCTATGCTGCCCATTTACATCAACCCAGTGCTCTGAGGAGACAAACGTTCCTTGATGCGAAGAATCTTCCTTCCAGTTGGAACCTTGTGAGTCTGCCTCCATAAGCAGAGTCAAATCAGGACAGGCCGTGCATCTAGTCCACAGCTATGCGCACCAGTTAACAGGCTCAAAAATCTTTTCTTCATCTGGTTGGATTCTGGTCAACTCATTGTGGGCCACCTTGCTTATCTTCACCAGGTGCCCCAAGGTTGCCTTTCCTTTAGACCAGTGGTTCCCAACCTTCCTCACACCGTGACCCTTAAATACAGTTCTCATGTTGTGGTGACCCTCAACCATAAAATTATTTTCGTTGCTACTTCATAACTGTAATTTTGCTACTATTGTGTATTGTAATATAAATATCTAACATGCAGGATGTATTTTCACTGTTACAAATTGAACATAATTAAAGGATAGTGATTAATTACAAAAACAATATGTAATTATATATTGAGAAATATTTATTTCTAATTAAAATTAAATGAAATTTTGTCTTGAAGCATGGTGTAGCATGGGTAACAGTCTTCACGCCAGGGACTCATAAGTGGGTGTATTTGCATGTGGGTGGACCGCCTGGAGATGGATAGAGAAGAGGTGTCTCAGTTCCTAAAAATCATCAGAATAAGTGTTTTCTGATGGTTTTAGGCTACCCCTGTGAAAGGGTCGTTTGACCCCCAAAGGGGTCACAACTCATAGGTTGAGAACTGCTGCTTTAGCTCATGGGCTGTCTCATGAATTGTCAACAACCCTAGCCCCCTTGGGCTAGGTCATGAACTTCAGACCAGTCAACCTGCTCTCAGTTTCTCCTCTAGTCCCTGTGAACCAGGTCCATGGGTGTCAGTGGCCAGACCCAACCCGTCTCTTTATTGCTGTGTTTCTCTCACTTCCACTCAACAAGGGGATCAGACGGTCACCTAGCAACCATTTCAGCTTGTCCTCAGGCTCCCTTTAACAGTTCAGTCCTAGAGAGGAGAGTTTCTTCCGGCTCCACATTTTTTCCAGGTTCTGACACAAATCATTAGTTCAAAATGGAAAAAAACCAAAGGTTTCTTTTTTTCCACCTTCAATCTGTCAACAGCCCCCTAGGCAAGTCTCTGCACCTTCAAATATCCTGAGCACTCAAGGCCCTGAGTGGGGTTTAGCTTTTCAGAGCCTTCTTTGCAGGTGTGTCCTAACCCAGTTAAAGATTCAAATTGGTACCTGAAACAGCTTACAAACTCTCTATACTTCCAAATAATCATTTCTATCAATCATTATATCAATAATAATAGTCAAAATAAAATAGTATAAACCTAGTACAGCCAGATCCTAAACTTAATTCTTAAAACAGTCAAGTTCAATCCTTATCCATCTTATCTCAATCCATATCTAAACTATTCCACTGTTACAAAGTATGGCCTTAGGCCTCTGACTGTATCAAGCCAGGGCATTTGTCAGCCATTTTCACTAAGCAGCATGGTCTCTGAGAAAATTCAAGGGGCGATTTCGTCCCCTGAGCTCAAATATACATTAATCACATTCATTTTTGCCATTTCAAACAAGAATAACCAAGGACAACAACCAAAGAAAATAATCAAAACATTAGCTTCCCATGTCCTTTTCCAGAAAATAGCCTAATAAAATACATGGTCCTATCTGACCTCCAGCCAGCCAAAAAAGGAAAGCTACCGTGAGGCAGGGCTCAAACAAGCATCCACTCTCCATCTTCATGATTTGTTTTTCTAGCACCCCACTCCCAAGGCACTATATGCTGCAGTGGTTCTCAACCTGTGGGTCATGACCCCTTTGGGGCTTGAAAGACCATTTCACAGGGGTTGCCTGATTCATAACAGTAGCAAAATTACAGTGATGAAGTAGCAATGAAATAATTTTATGGTTGGGGGTCACCACAACATGAAGAACTGTATTAAAGGGTCACAGCATTAGGAAGGTTGAGAACCACTGATATACTGTAATAGGTCTATTGTGCCAACCTGGCCAATAGGAACATGTGGGATTAATCAGGCCACAGTTTTATTGGAGGGCAAAGATATAAATGGCTCGGCAAGGTCCACCCCCCACCTCTCTTGCTCTCTGGTGATCGGACTGTGCTGGAATGTGCTTCTGCTTTAGCTACTCCTCTGCCTGCCTCAACCTGGGAGCTACACTACCTGTGAGTCAGGCTAACCCATGGATCATGCTGCTAGAGCTTGAAGCTCCTTCAAGACCTGCTTCACCACAATTCTGGTGTGTACACTGCTTGAGCTGGAGGCTTGTAGATCCTGTCACCTTGCATTGCTTGTGTTCAATAGCCCATCTGGGCCAACTTTGCTAAGCTCCCAGCTACCAACTGCTGGTGACCCACCCTGTTACTTGCTGCCTGTGAGCAGACTCTGCTTGCCTTGCCCGAGGGAGGACTCCACTCTGTTTCCTTGACCTTGGACCCAGCAGCCCAGGTGAGTTGAAGGGAAGGACTTCCAGTATATTAATGTTCCACGGAAGTGAGTTGAACTGAACCCTCTGTACTGCTGTGTGGACGAATTTATATATATATATAATATAAATATATATATGTATATATTATATATATATATATGAGTTTGAGCCCATGGTTGCAGCCACTGTGCCGTCCATCTCACTGAGGGTCCCTCCTTTCTGCGGACCCTCACAGGATGCCCTTCTCCAGCAACTGGTTTCTCCTGAGGATGTGTCCAAGTAAAACCACCAACCAAACTCTCCAACTGACTCACAGCCACCCTGTAAGACCGGGTAGAACTGCCACTGCAGGTTTCTGAAGCGGTAGAAAGTCCCATCTGTCTACTGCAGTGCAGCTGGTGGTTTCAAACTGCAGCTGAGGCAGCAGGGATGTGACAGTCCTCAAAGTGAATATCCCTGAGAGGCAGCCCGCACTGTAGGCACTGGGCGCCTGGGATCCTGAAGGCGGCAGCAGTGCCAGAAGGGAGCAGTACCCCTCTTGCTCCAGGGGGCAGGGGACAGCAGGATGATGTGGCTGCTTCTCCAGGAGGGAGGGAGGGGGCCAAGGTCTTCCATCTGTCCAGTTACCCCACTTTCCTGAATGCATACCCACACACGCCCATCCGCACACTCTTCACACACATTCAGACTCATGCATGGTTAGTCATGCTCACACTCACATGCACACTCAGCTGTGTACCCACAGTCTCACACATGCACTCATGTGTTCACATACTCTCACACTAAGGTTCACACACAGTCTTAAATACTTACACACATCCACACACTCATTCGCACATGCACATATGCATAAATATTGACATGCTCTCACAAGAATGTTCACACACTCTCAATATTCTCATACTAATGCTCACATGCACATATCCTCACACACGTTCACACACAGTCTCACATCTTCACACACACACATACACACACACACACACAGGACCCTCACGCTAAACCTCCACACTCTCTCACACTCGATGGCCATGCGGGCTGTAAGGGATCTCAGCTTTTGCCCCCTGCACACCCTGCAAACAGCTGCTGGTGTAGGGACAGGGAGGAGATGGAGAGGAGCGCTGACCCTGAGGACCATGACTGACCTCCAGGCCCCAAGGATGGTGTGGTCCAGTTTGCACCCAGAGCACATGGTGCAGGGAGGTGGGGGAGGGTGGCTATGGGCCCCAGGAGGATGTTGGTTAGTGTACAGGGTGAGTGTACAGACAGTAGTGCGTGAGGTGTGGTGAGCACGGCGTGGGAGGAACATGCGCACAGTAACCTGTGTGTGAGGTTGTATGTGACACAGAATTGGGAGGGTGTGTCTGGGTGGTGAGCATACATGTGGGGGGGGTGTGCATGTGAGGAGAGGGTGTGAGGGAGTATGGGGGTGTCCAGGGAAGGAGCTTTGATGTGGGAGGGGCATAGCTGTGTGTGAGTGTAGCTGTGTGAGACGGGAAAAGGGTGATGGGGGCTCTGTCACGGAACACATGTGAAAATCAGGTGGATAAGAGGGTGTGAGAATACAGTGTGTAAAGAGTAGGGTGTGTTTAACTGTGTATGTGTGTGAGGCTGTGTGAAACAGAAAATGTGTGTTTGTGTGGTGGGTGGTGGGGAGGAGCTCCTGAGGGGCACATATGTGAAAATCAGGATGGATGAGAAGGTGCATGTGAGACTGTGTTGGGTGTGAGGAGTGGTGTGTGTGCATATGTATGTGTGCACGTGTGTATGTGTGCGTGTGTGCGTGTGAACGCACACAGGGGTAGGTGCGGGGGAGGGACTGGGGGACCAGGGGACCAGACCTGAGGTGGGGGAAGCAGGGACAAGCAGCAGAGTATCTGGAAGCTTCCAAAAGGTTGCCACCCCCTGCTCGCGCCTCGTCTCCAGGCAACCGCAGCCTCGGTCTGGACGCTCGGCCCCGCCTACTCCCCGCCCGCCGCGAAGCGTCTGGAACCGCATCCTGGGTCCAGCGTCCTCCTCCTCTGGCCGCGCATCCCGCCGCTGTCGCCGGAGCCGCTGTGAGCGAGTTGCACGCTTCTCTTTGTGGCCTGGGGGTGAGGGGCGGGCTGTGTGTGTGCACGCGTGTGCCAGGTGTGTGTACACGGGGTGGAAGAGGTGGGGGCAGTGGCCCAGCCGAGGGCCGCCTCGGTCCCGGGGGAATCCTCAGGCTGCGCCCCTGAAGGTGGGGAGGGGGTCCTCAGGCCTGGAGGGACCTAGGGAGGTCTGGCCTGAGGGTGACCAGCCTGTAGACCGTCCGGAGCAGAGCGGGGCGGGGATGGGGGTGGCTGGCTCTCGGCCTCTAGCCCTTCCCATCCCCCCAAGGTGTCCGCAGGTCCCCTGCAACCCAGCGGATCCTCCTCTGCAGAGCGTCGAACCCCAGCGGCAGGCCGGCGTGCCAAGGTGTGGGTGCGGGCCCAGGTGGGGCTCAGCTGCCTGCTGGAGGGAGGCGGGTGGCCGACTGGGCTGGCCAGTACCAGGAGGGGCATTTCTAGAGTGACCACAGGCTTGGGTCTGCCTCAGGACTCCAGAGGTGGTCGACCACGCCGGGAGCTGTGGCTGCGGGGGTGGAGGGCGTGGGGGACGTCGGGGAGAGGGTTGCGGCAGGGCAAAGCTTCCAGACTCTGGGGACAGGGTGCAGGGGGGCGGGGGGAGTGCTGTGTACTGTGGCAGGACAAGGCTTCTAGATTTGAGGGACGGTGGCGAAGGGGTGGCTGCAGCGGGGCCAGGTTCCCAAACCCGGTGGCGGGGCGGCGGGGTGGGGGGTGGGGGGTGAGCGGGCTGTTTCACTGGGTTTCCTGAGGAGCCTGCAGGCGCTCCCTTCAGCTGTCACACACATCTCAAGCCGAAAAGGGCTGGTGCGACAACGCACACCTTTGTCCCCGCCGTGACGCAGTGCCCTAGGGCGCTGTGTGACAAGTCTCGGCGCATCCTGGGTGCCCCCACCACCTGCGCGACCCCCACCACCTGGAATCCGGAGTCAGGAGATCCGCGGGGTATGCCGGGAGGGCGCAGCGGGCGAGCAAGATCTGTGTCCCAGAAGAGCCTAGCCCAAGATGGGGGTGGGGGGGCGGCGGCACAGCCCAGGCCCCCATTCCGCCTGAGCCAATGACGTCAAGAGCCAACTCCCCCCCCACCCCTGCATCCCTGTCGCCCTGGGCCTCAGTTCCCTGAGAGGACACATCTTCGTGGTCGCAGATCCGTTTCCTTGGAAACCGCAGTGACATCAAAGGCCCAGCTCCAGTCTGATGGAGGAGTGGGAATTTCCATTTGGATGGGGAGGGGGTGATGACGCTGCCTATGAGAGGCCTTCTGCGGGTTGGGGGCCGGACCGGGGCTGGGCCTGTGGGCAGGCAGGACCACCGCCCCCCTCCCACGCCCTCCGTCCCCAGTCAGCCTGCAATGGAAACTGCGTCCTGACAGGGGAGGTTTGGTGGCACCCGCTCTGCCCTCGTTCTGCAGCTCTGACTGCCCTGGTGTCACTGCGGCTTGGGCCTCCAGAAAGCCCCCTCCCCCTTCGAACCTCAGCCTCCACATCGTCTGCTGCCTGCCCCCTCCCCGGAATCTGAGTTGGTTTGGGTCCTGAGGGGGCCGGCCCTTCCCTGCTCTGGTCTCTTCCTAGGTCACCTGAGGTCCTGGGGAGGATGGACAGAGCAGCGTTTGTGAGCTAGTGTGCAGGCTCTGTCTGCTGTGGAGCCAGAGTTCTTGGTGGACAGAAGGATGGATGGATGGATGGATGGATGGATGGATGGATGGATGGATGGATGTGTGGTGGAGGGATGGATGTGTGGGTGGAGGGATGGACGGAGGGGTGGGTGGATGGATGCATGGGTGCGTGGGTGGATGGGTGGGTGATGGATCGTTCATATCCATTGGTAGCCCGCAGGTGCCTACCTGAGGCAGGGTCTCTGTGGACTACTGGGCAGGCTGCCCTTCCTCTGGAAGTGCCTGCAGGGGTAAGGATGTCAGGCAGACACAGGGACATAGGCCACCCACGACAGAAGGCCTGAACCTCGAAGCCCCGTGGAGCCCCAAGTTGGGTGATTGGTTTGTTTTAACCTTTTAGTTGATAAATACAAGGAATATGCAGAAATTTACATAAAACAGGCACACAGCTTATGAGCTGTTGTCAAGTGACCCCAAGAACCTACTTGGTGCCAAACCCCACCTGGTCTGTCCACTTCCCTGGATACTGGCAGGCCTTCGCTTGTCCCAGGCCACTTGCTGCCCACACTGCTCTGGGAGACTGAGCCTCTGCAAGCTCCTGGCTTTCCGTTCTATGACTCTGTGCACCTGTGCAAACACGCGCCGCCTCCTCAGCTGTTCGTGTGGTGGACAGGTGGGGCTGCCAGTTCCCTCTTGCTAGGAAGAGCGCCACTGTGCGTATTGTACAGCACCCAGTATTTCCGTAAAGAGGCCCTGGTGGCACTGTGGGTTAAGCACTGGGCCACAAGGTCAGCGATTCAAAGCTACCAGCTTTGCCAAGGGGAAAGGCGGAGTCAGCTGTGTGCAGAGAGACCTGCAGTCCCCTGGCACTCCCGTGTTGGCTTTCTGAGAAGCGACTCAGCGGTGGCTTGGTTGGGTTTCTGTTGGAGCCTGGGTGTTACATGGGGGCCTCTGTGACAGAGTGACACCGCATGGCTTAAATTCTATAGCTTGTAACAACCGGGCCCCTGTGGCGCTGTGGTCCCTCCCTCCCTGCCAGTCAAGGTGTCTCCTTTGTCCTCTTCCTTGCATCCTGTGTCAGTCTGCATGGTCAGGTCCACAGAAGAAACATGCCCTTGGGGTCTGTCTGAGGCTGGCTGACTCTGGAGCTGCACCTCTGGAGGAGCTGATGTGTTCAGCAGCGTCCTACCGAAGTCTATGGTCAAGGCTGTCCCTTTTAATTTGAAGGGTGAGGATGGTCTTTGATCTTGCTCTGGAGCAGCGCCTCCTGGTGTAGGCTACGTGTCACATCTGCTTCTGAGCATTTGATGCTTCTGATGTTACCTAACAGGAATCTTTAAAAACGTATTCCCTAACTTTTCTGATAGCTAAACTACATATATAAAAGGGGCTCTGGTGGAGTTCTCAGGCAAGTTTGGGACTGCTAACCTTAAGGTGTGCAGTTCAACTCCATCAGCCTCTCGGTGGCAGAAAGGTGAGGCTATCTGCTCCCATATAGCAATCGACAAAGCCTTAGAAACCCTGTACAGGGTTGCCGGGAGTCGGACTTGACTCGGTGGCAGTGTGCTTTTCATACATATATAAAAATCTAACGAGTCGCTGAATACCTAAAATTCAGCAACTTTGCTGAACTCTTTTTAAAACCTAATCACTTTCCTGTCGATTTTCATGGATTTTCTGCACACAAAAGGCATTTCATCTGTGAATGATGAGTTGTACTCAACCTTGTCTTATCTGCACCTATCACGTATTTTTCTTGCTCAACAGCATTGGCTAATGCTGCTGGTACCATGATTTGTAGAATTCATGAGAAAGGTCACTTTTGTCCCTCTCATGAGAAAGGCAACCCTGTCACCTATGTGGTGCAGTGAGGCTCAGTCTAGTTTGTTTTTGTTGTGTGTGTGGACGTGGGTAACCTGTCCACAGGTTAAGGAAGATCCCTTCTGCCCCACTGTGTGCTCATGGAGGTTTATATGATACAGAAACACTGAGCCCATCAAATAATTGTCCAGCTCTTGTTGAAAGCGGTCAGGTGACTTTTTTTAAAAAAACATTTTATTAGGGGCTCACACAATTGTTATCGCAATCCATACACACATCAATTGTGTAAAGCGCATTTGTACATCATTCTCAAAACATTTTCTCTCCACTTAAACCCCCAACATTAGGTCCTCATTTTCCCCTCTTGTGGGGTTAAGGGGAAGAGGGAACCCCACAAAATATCACAGGTTCGGTAGGCGCAATTGTACAGTGATAATAAGTAGAGATTATAGTAAAGTCATAGAGAGCATGAGAGCTAAGAGATAGAGTCAAGTAATGGAGTCAGACGCAATTCATGGTAGCATATCTCACCTCAGCTAGGCTTGATGGTCCTCGTGGAGGGGGCTCAGTCCTCAGAGAAGAAGCCGCTGCTTCGTCCTCCTTAGTCACCTTCTCCAGCCACCCTCCCGAGAACCAGGGAGCCTCATTATTTATTGCTAACCACGCATCATAATCATACATCACAGAAAGGGGCAATACAATTCATTCTAGAACAAGTTTGATCACTCTAATGTCTCATATAATAAAACAGACAATTACTATTCTGGGAGGCATGCAAGTTCCCTGATAGCGGACAATAACCTGAGTCACC